TCTTCGGGAATGAAGGTTCACTTCATGCAAGCGGTTTCTGACTGTTTGGTCGCTAATTAAGTTCCCTGAAGAGTGATGAAGCCTCACGGCTAACATCATGGCGGTTATTGTTGGAGCTCTTCGAGTTAAGATTTGAATGTATCGGTCTTGTCTCCGTGTGGTGCAGCGATACCGTCCTCCATGGCGCTCAGCCACGGTACCAGTGCTTCGGTATCGTGTCCAAAGTCGACTGATAACACTCTGACTTGTATTCAGAGCTAAAGCCACAGTACGTTGCCGGGAACCAGCTTCTATCATTCCCACGGCTCTGAGCATTTCTTCCCTGCTTAAATGACGTCGCCGCTCCATAATAACGTTGGTTTTAATCAGTAGTAGGGAAACAGTAGCACTAATAATGTCTTCAATGCGTTGTATGTTTTTATAGGGAAAATATTGACAGCTGATTTTCATCTTTTACTCGAATTTGATTCACAGTTCCTGATTCAAATTATGAAATGCACCAAAAAGGATCCATATAAATTTATAAAATCATAAATTTATTACAAAGCCACATCTCAATCTCAAGAAATCCGCATAAAAATGCTTGATCCCTAGACACTTTTGATGTGTGTATTTATTCATTTCTTAAACATTTATTATAACTAATCGACGAAATATTTTACATTTAACTTTTTACAATAGTCAATGTCGGATGTGCATAAATAAAGGTACGCTACGATACTGTGCTACGGTGTAGCACTACGGCTGCTACAGCGTAGACAGTAAAAACGTAACGAGGTCATTCATCGATAGATTTCACTCCTCACATTTTTCTCATACCGGGCCCCTTATATATGCAAATCGATTTTTAAGGAGTAAACTCCAATAAATGTTTTCAACACTCTGTTTCCACACACAGGGCGTGACACTGACACACGTAGGACAGCTGTTTTGTCTATGATAGCGAACCGCTTATGTCAACGCGGCTGTCAAACTTCATTGGTTGGGTTGGTAACACTGAAGGAATAGTTGCTTTTTTCATTCGACTTAAGAATCGACTTCAACTTATATAAAAAAAAGAGACAAAACAATGGGTCTAAATTGTTGTGTGTTGATGGGTAGATCAAAATTTAACAAATTGGTAAATCATCGTCATCAGCCTCTTTATGTCCCCACTGCTGGGGCACAGGCCTTCCCTATGAATAGAATAGGGAGATTGGGCCATGACCCACCACGCGGGCCCAGTGCGGCTTGGCGGGTTCTAACGATTGCAGATGCAACCGGGACCAACGGCTTAACGTGCCTTCCGAAGCACGGAGGAACTCGAGATAGAAATTTTTGGTCACCCATCCAATGACCGACCACTGCGAAAGTTGTTTAACTACAATGATCGCAGCCGAACGCGCTAACCACCTGCGCCATCGAGCTCCTCATCATCATCGAGGTAATTAGCTTGTCCCAAAACAAGCACTGTAGGCTTGTGTTATGGGATGCTAGGGTAACGGATAGAAATACATATACTGATATATTTATGACTGGAGTACAAATGCTTGTATTATTCACACATTGACTGGAGTACAAATGCTTGTATTATTCACACATACATCTGCTCCAACCGGTATTCGAACCCGGGACTTTTCTAGTAGCCGACACCTTGAAGCCATCATTCATTTATCGCTTCGTTTAGGCCGCTTTGTTACAGTTATAGTTAAATTTGAGTAATAGTAATTAGTTAATTGAATTACATTTCAATAATTTCAAGTAATTCGCATTAAAGTCACCAATTACTATTTGTAATTGAAATTGTTAATTTGAAATTAATTAGATTTGCCCAACACTGGTCATAACCTGATCTCCCTATTCCAACCACAGACAAGACCTGTGTCACAGCAGTGGGGATATCAAAATGAGTGTGTGTGTGTGGTGTGTGTATGTGTGTGTGTGGTGTATGTATGGTGTGGTGTGTGTGTGTGTGTGTGTGAGTGTGTGGGTGAGTGTGTGGTGTATGTGTGTGTGTGTGGTGCGTGGTGTATGCGTGTGTGTGGTGTGTGTGGTGAGTGTGTGGTGTATGTGTGTATGTATGGTGAGTGTGTGTGTGCCGTGGTGTGTGTGGTGTATGAGTGTGTGTGGTGAGTGTGTGGGGTGTGTGTGTGTGGTGTATGTGTGTGTGGGGTGTGTGTGTGTGGTGTGTGCGGTGTATGTGTGTGTGTGGTGTGGTGTGTGTGTGATGTATGTGTGTGTGTGGTGTGTGTGTGGTGAGTGGTGAGTGTGTGGTCCGTGGAGGTAATCAGTAAGCGGAGCACTCACCGGCTCCCTGACCGCGTCCCGTATCCGCTGCAGCTGCGCGTCCACGTGGGGGAAGTGATGGTCCGTCGATGCGGCGGCGGCGCGGGCCAGCTGACCCCCCGCCCCGGCCCCCACCCCTCCCGCGCCTACCAGCACGCACGCGCTCAACTCCGACGAGTATAGCGACAACGCCGTCTGTAGGCGGCGCGACACCTCTGTGGGACTGGAGGAAGGACGCCGTTCTAACGTATATCCCCGGTGGGCGATCGACCGCAAAGATTGCCACTGGAGGCACTGCCGGATTTAGGGGAGGGCAACCGGGGCGAAAGCCCCGGGGCCTCCACAAGCGGGGGGCCCCCACAATAGAGACTTGGGAAAAAAAAATCTTTCAAATTGCAACTTGTAAACATCATTTCCTTTGATATATTTTTTTTGCTCTTTTACCTTTACCTACAGCCTACAGTACTTTGTACATCAAACATACATGATTATTTGATTATATTAATCTTAAATAACAGAAATCATTGATCTATATTTGTTCACTCCAATCAGGCAATCAGTGAAATATCAAAATCTCAAATGGCCCTGCCACTTCCAATTCACTACCCATCTTGAGGGAGTACCCCAATCGCTTAATAGCTGAGTGGGGTGGTACTTGCCCGCGGTGCCGAATTTAACGCAGGGCAGGTGGAGCTGTGGCCCAGGGGCCTCCACAACAGCTTAAGAAATAACAACATTTCGATGGGTTAACAAGAATACAAATCCTAAGTGGCCCGGGGCCGCCACAATCCTCTAATCTCAAAACTAAACATTCACTCCCAGTCACCCCCGCGGCGAATGGGAATAAAGTCGTTGCCCAAACTTCAGTTACTGAAATGAATGCGGTACGAGCGTCACACGACTACATATATCTATCAAGTGTGTGTGTAGAATGCGTGCGCAGCTCTTCCCGACAAGCATGAAAGTTGGAGGGTAAAACTAAAACGCTACGAGCGTCACACACGACAATATATAAATAAATAAATACATACATCATTTCAGATATGTTGTCCGTGCACATATTTTTTTTGAAGTGAAACTTCTTTATCGGCGTTGGAAAAAAATTTACCGTCACATTTTTATTCGGTTACGCGTCACGTTTTTTGGTTACGCGCCATCTTTTTTTAAAAGAGCACTATTTACCTCATCCGAACAATTGCTTCTTCTGTCAACTTTAAAAAAAAAGTATCGACAGCAAATATTCGTGTTTCACACAAGGTAAGGTAAGGTAAGGTAAGGTAAGGTAAGGTAAGGTAAGGTAAGGTAAGGTAAGGTAAGGTAAGGTAAGGTAATGTAAGGTAAGGTAAGGTAAGGTGTAGTTATACACCTTAAGTGGGTGAGTTTTTGAAAAATCTTAGCGCACGCCTATATATATATTTCTGGAAAGTTGCATGTAGATAATTTTTCGAAAAAAATAAGGCCATAAAGAAGTTTCACTTCTTACGTGTGTACACTAGTACACGCACACATTTTTTTTTATTTCCATTTGCCTACCTACGGTGAGGGGGGCGACTGCACCAGCATACAACAATATTAAAAAGTAGTGTCCCGCAATCGCTTCGCTACGCTGTAGACTATAGACCATTTCATATCATTCAGGTCAGGGGGGGCCCTGACCTGAATGATATGAAATTTGGGAATATTCAATACAAACAAACAATCAAATCTTTTCTTTTTATAACATTAATGCAGATATCTACCTATTACAAAATGTAGTACGGGTGCTGTCAGCAGTAAAGAGTTACACTTAATATAAATAACACTTTTTGTATTTAAACTGTATGACATAGCAATCAAAATGCAGGTAAACAATTAATGTATATTTCACATTATGTAATAAAAGGTGATTTGATGTATAGGTGATCTCTGAAGTCAATTTTTCAACTTGACGACTCTGTATATAATAAAATAGGAAAAGGAAAACAGCCCTTGCTAAAAAGTAACATTGTTGTGTCATACATATATATATATCATAAAATTTAATAGTTTAATTTAGCAGAATCTATATATATAAAACTCAAAGGTGACTGCTTGACATAGTGATCTATCAACGCACAGCCCAAACCACTGGACGGATCGGGCTGAAATTTGGCATTCAGGTAGATGTTATGACGTAGGCATCCGCTAAGAAAGGATTTTGATCAATTCTACCCCCAAGGGGATAAAATAGGGAATGAAAGTTTGTATGAAACTTTGTCAATTTCAAACCGATCGGGCTGAGACTTTGCATGCAGGTATAAGAAGAATCATAGATGAATGTCATTATGTATAATACGAGCCTGAGAATAAAAACTGTAGTCTACACTTCAGCTCTACACCGAAGCGAAGCGAGGGCAAGCCGCTAGTCGCAAATAAAACGCAAATAAAATATTATTCTATTCTATCGACACTATGCTCCTCTGAACAGCAAGGGGCTGTGCTGTAAATAAAAGAACAACGCCGTTCTGTCATCATCATCATCATGAGCCTATTAATGTCCCCACTGCTGGGGCACAGGCCTTCCCTATGGATGGAATAGGGAGATTGGGCCATGACCCACCACGCGGGCCCAATGCGGATTGGTCGGTCCCGGCTGCATCAGCAGTCGTTAGCACCCGCTAATCCGCACTGGGCCCGCGTGGTAGGTCATGGCCCGCACCTTGTCCATGCATACATACATACATTAACAGACTGATGATGATCTAAGAGCTGTGTACTCACTCGTCGTGATGCAGAGTGCACAACTCCATCATGTCCATGGCCACGATGCGAACGTTGTGGGTCTGCTTGAGCTGGCTTCCCAGGTGGATGGTGAAGCTCTCCTCGGGGCGAGGCCGGGGCGCCGGCAGGGGCAGGCGCTCCAGGGAAAACGTGGCCAACGGGGAGTTGCTGGAGACAACCAACTTAGGGATGTCAAAAGTTGAAAAAAATATCGATATATCGATACATCGCGAAAAAAACATCGATATATCGGACCAATTTTCCCAAAAATATATTTAGGTCAGCAATAATAACAATACAAATTATAATTAAAGAAAGAATTATCAAAGTACCAAATTGCCGCTACACTACATGACAGTACAATATCTCACAAAAGATGACACGCGGAATAATAATGGAACGAAAATTATCTCCCTAAAAATAGACCCTATTTTCGAATGATGAAAATTATTGCAGGGCCTCCTTACGTGGCATCTTTCGTAAACAACACTAGACAGTCACACACTTCCACAGAATATACTGGAATTCAGCACAACCAATTCACCAGCGAAACAGATTTACAAATCATAGAAAATACTAAATACAGCACAAATCATAGATATGTTGAATATCATTAATCTGAGCTTCAGTTACGACTTTTCCAGATACGAATTTAGTTAGATCGTGGAATGCCGCTAATTATTAAAAAAAAAAATCGTTTTTGATACGAATTTCGATATTGGTTATTTTGTATCGATGTATCGATATATCGAATCAAAATATATCGGCTAAAAATATCCATATATCGAACAAAAAATATCGATATATCGATACATCGATATATTTTCAGCAAGCCTAAACCAACTTCAGAGGAATTGTTCGGATTGATACCAGCTGCTACTCTTCAGTAAGTATTACATAAGCACTATAGGGAGGCAGGGGGGTCTTTGCTTTGCTTATTTTTGATGACATGGGGGGGTGGGGGGTAGAGATGGTGATTACGTCAGCATCATCGATTAATACTGCTGCTCATGAAGCACATGAAAGCTCATGAATCAATAAAAAGAACAGAATACATTAAGGGGAAAATGCATATAGGTACCAATGTTTACGTAAGGATGGGGGGGGGGGGGGAGGGGTAAGAGCTTTGCTCACTTTTGCTGACGAGGGGGAGGAGGGTAAATAATTGTAATAAATCTGCTTACGTAATACTTGAACGGCCCCTAATTTAGTGATGTAACGAATCTAAAGAAAAGTTTACAAGAGAAAAAAAAAAGCAGAGCAGTCAACTATAATTGCTATTTCTTCTTTCAAATGTTTAATACTTGTAAAAGTATTCATTTGCCATTGTGGGTTACCTATAATGCGAAGAGATGGCGCTGCCTTGCAGCTTAAGAATGGCTAGAAGAATTTCGACGCGAGCCGTGAGGGCCGCGGTAACATAATTGGTCAGTGCATTCGCCCGGATTGCGAAGGATGCGGGTTCGAGTCCCGTCTGCTGCCTGGTCCGCGTGGAATTTTTTCTAGTTATATTTTCTTTAGACATTGCACTTGTTTACAACTTATGAAATTCAACAGCTATTTCGGAATTAATACAAAAGCGATCAAAGTTTATCAAGTAAAGTGTTCAAGTGCGATTGTTTAAAGACTTGTGTGTTAAAGAGAAAATTGGGTGATCTGTGTGATGAATATAGAACTGTTAAGCGTGAACTGGCATATAATTTCGAACGACGACGACACGTAACAATATCCTCTCTTTCACTCTGGCTATATGTCTGATTTCTTTGCCATTCAATCTTCATTACTCTGGAACAGCCTCCCTGACTCTCTTAGAATGTCACCCAATAGGTACATTTTTAAGAAGTTCATGAACTTCTCCTAGAAAGCTTAGAACGTTTAACTTAACATATATGTTTAGGTTCTTTTTTGAAATAAATATTTATGAAGTTACTTTTATCGGTGTATGTTTTTTTTAATTATTTTTTAGCGTAAAAGGCAAGGCATTTGGCCACAATCTCGCCGGATAGAAAGCGATGATGAGATTTCATTTCATTTCATATAGTAGTATTATTAGGTAGGATTTCTTTATGCCTAAAGGTTGACTGGCAGAGAATGCTTTAAGCGTTAAGTCCGATTTTTGTCCATTTTTGTAATAGGGGTGATGACGGGGTACAATAAAAGAAATTCTATTTAGTCCGTCAGTTAGATGATCAAAAAATAATGGACACATATTTTTTCTTTGGGCAATCAACCAAAAAATGACAAAGTTATAGCGCGTCAAAGTTTGGGAGTAGGGGCTCGTGACGTCACTTTTGAGTGAATTTTCACTTATAAATTTACTCAAACGTGACGTCATGCGACTTTTCAAATCAATATATCTCCGCAATGTTTATATTATGTGAAAAAAGAAAAAATACGTGTCCAATACTTTTCGATAATCTACCTGATGAACGAAGAAAAAAAAATAGTCATCATCCCTATTGTGGAAATAATTAGATATGGTATGAAGGCTTTCGAAGCCGGCTTCTTGAATTTCGGAAAGAAATCCAACGATTAATACTTCGTTAAAGAAAAATCGGTCAATTTTTATTTGTATTTTATTTAAGTGCCATTTTTTTTTTGTGAAATTCAATTTATATATTTTTCTTTGTTTAGTGTAAACTTCAGCCCATAAAAATTTAATCATGTTATCCGCACATATTTGGAGTTACAGTTTGGTTTTGTATTATTGTAATTGCTTTGGTTTTTTTTTATAATTGTAACTTGTTTTGTGAGCTAATAAATAAATAAATAAAAAAAAAATGGGTGCGTGTACTTATGTAGGCGCGTGAGAAGTTATCCTTCTTTGGCTACGTTTAAAATTAGTTTTTAATTGCATGCAAATAATTAATTACAATAAATTAATAAAAAGTCTGGAAAAGGACACAGTCAATAAAGTTCAGTTTTAATTTGAAAAAATAAATAAATAATCAAAATATTCAATTAAAATCGCTACTGAATATAATTTATTAGAACATATGTGATTTGCACATGTATGAAACTCAAACACGTATTCCGAATATACAAACTAGAAACATGTGGATAAATATTATAAATATGAATACCTATAACTGTTACTTTATTTCAAAAAATAAAGATGTGGTTTTTGGTTCTACTACAGCAATGGTCAAGAGATGGCGCTGTAGTCTCCTGAATCGCGCTTTGGTTCCGTTGTTCCAGATTAATAAATACTTTTGATAGGCCTTCACAATGCAGTCGTTAGCACCCACTAAATAGAGATTCTATTTCTATTTTGTTGGTAGATCTTCTTAATGTCGCTAAAGCGACCAACTTCATGCTGTTAATTTTTTGTGTTACAGTGATTTTTTTATTTTTTCATAACGCGCCTAAAGAAGTATAACTTCAATAAAAAGAAGGTAGTTTGAGTGCAGGCTTGTCATTACCTGGGTGTATCCAACTCTGCAGTGGTCTGGTATTGGTCCAAGGTGTTCATGAGCCACGTGCGGTGGTGCGCCCGCTGCGCCTGGCAGAGCGCGTCCAGCTGCGAGCCCCATCGACCCGCGGCGAGGTTCTGCTGCTCAAAGTGCTGGGCCGCCAGTTCATTGATCTCCTCTTCCGTTGTGGATACGTTCAGGAGGCGCATTTTCGATTCCATTTCTTCCGTTTGTCTGCGATTGGATGGTTTATCACAATAATAATAATTTTAAAAAAATGGGTGCGTGTACTTATGTGGGCGCGTGAGAAGTTATCCTTCTTTGGCATCGTTTAAAATTAGTTTTTAATTGCATGCAAATAATTAATAATTACAATAAAATAATAAAAGGACTGGAAAAGGATAGTTAACACAGTCAATTAAGTTCAGTTTTAATTTGAAAAATTAAATAAATATTCAAAATATTCAATTAAAATCACTACTGAATTTAAGTTATTAGTCCATATGTAATTAGCACTTGTAAGTAACTAAAACACGTTGTGTCTATATAGAAACTATAAACATGTGGATAAATATTATAAATATGAAAACAGTGATCAGAGGCGACGAGCGTGCCAACATTGTTTTTGACAACGCGATCATCTTATGGAGCTCCGTGGATCGTTCAAAGTACCTTTCGAACAGATGTCTAATAATGGTGGATACACTAACATTCATAGCGCGCCCGCGGCCAACTTCATGGTGTTACTATTGTGTTACAGTGATGCGCGCGCATCTCGAAATTTCACTCACATGATTTTTTCATAACGCGCCCGCGGCCAACTTCATGCTGTTACTTTTGGGTTACAGTGATGCGCGCGCATCTAAAAATTACACTCTCATAATTTTTTCATAACGCGCCTAAAGAAGTATAACTTCAAAAAAAAATGTGTGTGTCAGCTCCGACGCACGACTGGAGTTACTGGAGGTACTCCTTAAGTTCGATAGTCTAACCAGACGCAAAAAGAGTTTATTTAACTTAAAAAAAGATTGATACTGCATGAAAGGGTATATTTACAAATTAATGAAAATAATATACATATATAAATATATATTTATTCGTTTCATATACATTTATTATAACTAATCGACGAAATATTTTACATTAAACTTTTTACAATAGTCAATTTCAGATGTGCATAAATATATCATTAGGAATGTTGATAAATTATGTAATTATTATTATCAGACTATTATCATTTTTTAAATATTATTTAAATCAGTTTGTCCTTGGTGGGCGAATATGTATACGCCATTTGTACATTTGAAAGTTTAGTTCATATGTATCAAAATAGATGGCGCTGTAGTTCGTTGCATCACGCTTGTAAATATGTTTGGAGCTACATATAGGCAAAACGTCACCTAACTAACTAATAAAGAAATCTATGGTCTAACAAAGTACACTGTAGTTTCAATTTAATTCTTTTGCACCTAAGCCCTCGGATTTAAGAGTCATTTTGGCTCGAACAGGATGCGCACCAAAAACGTAACGAGGGCATTCATCGATAGATTTCACTCCTCACATTTTTCTCATACCGGGCCCCTTATATATGCAAATCGATTCTTAAGGAGTAAACTCCAAAAATAAAAATCATTTATTTCAAGACATGGTCTCATATAATATGTTGTAACAATTTCTCTTAACCTATGTTAGTATTTCATTACCATTTCAGTCATCATTACAACATATATAAACATAATTAAATCATTAACATGTACCTATAGAAATAATTAAAATAAATAATTTCAGAATTAAAATAATTAAAAATTAAATTAAAATAAAAGCCGATGCACCAGTGCCGCGACTTTTTTACGCATAACAGCATAAAAGTCGACAGTGCTTGCGTCCGCAAACATGCCAGATGCACTACAGTAGCGTGGAAGTCGAAACAGAGCCCTGAATATGTCATTATACATAACTCTAAGGGCATTGTAGGCACTTTTCGTAAAGTTGGTCCATAGGATGCATGCATTAAAATTTTGACAGTATGCTTTAAAAAGTGTCAATTTAACAGTAGCTGTGCAGCGTGCAAACCTATGTGCCAACATGTTTCCCCGCACTGCCAATGCCCTGCGTTCCATTTCTTACTTCCAATACTTCCATTCCATGCAAGTTTTTATGGGACTGCCTTTTGTAAATCTTTTCCGTTAGCAAATGACGCTGAATTGGTCGTTCATTCTGTCTGAGAACTGCCATCGCAAGCGAAAGCATAAACATTCCAAAAAATTAATTCAGAAACAAAGCCAAGATCTCTAATGTTAATCCCTATCATATTGTTTTGATTTGAGATATTCATTTTTAACTCACATCATCTGTTTAAAGGTGTAAATCTGGTCTAAATGCTTTACGTTAGATGTAACGTTGATCAGTACCATTATAACAGTACTACTGGCACATATTAAAGTTACTACTACCTAAACCTACCCACCTAAAACAGAATTACGAAAGTCAGAAAAATTAAAATATTAGTTTAATACTAGTGGCCCGCCCTCTCCGTGTAGAGCTGTAGTGTAGACTATAGATTTTGTTCTCAGGCATGTATTGTACAAATTGAATTTATTTATTTAATCGTTTTTTTATTGAATAGGTAATAATGTGAACTTTTTTAAATTAGGGATGAGTGAGAGAATTATAAACGTAAGAGTAAACAAATATAATCAGAATGCTCCGAACTGCTAAGCTATCAGGAGTTACACGTGTTATTGTGAGTAAACCATAAATGATAGACATACGCTGTTGCAAGATATTTTTTAGACAATTTTATGTAGAATATTTCCGTCATACATGATTCCTATGTAACTTTAACCATTAAGGCTGCACACGCGACGGAAGCTTAAAAAATGGAGTAACTTCTCCCGTTTTCCCAACATTTCCCTTCACTACTCTGCTCCTATTGATTGTAGCGTGATGAAAAGTATACTATAACCTGACCAGGAGTATGAAGAATAATAAGAATAAGTTAAAATTTTGTGTTACAGTGATGCGCGCGCATCTTAAAATTTCACTCTCATCATTTTTTCATAACGCGCCTAAAGAAGTATAACTTCAAAAAACATGATAGCAGTTTAAGTTAAAATATTGTCACAAACGCTTTTGAAACAGAACCGCGAATGTGCTAGAGATCGAATGTGCCAGAGCACCGCGGGTCGCGATAGAGGTCGAATAATGCGGCTCATTCTAAAATGAGCCTTATGCAGTGCGGTGTAAGGCCGAAAGTGCAACGACATCTGCACTTGTTTACAAGTTATGCGCGTTACCTGCGTAGGTATAGGTAGGTACTTCGTACTCGCGGGTGCTAGCTAATTCTCAATTTAACAGGTACTTTCTAGAATGCGTCGATCGGCGTATATAAGCGCGATTGGCGCCGCGCAGAAACAATTGAGTTTCAACAGCAATTTCGGAGCGAATCCAAAGGCGTTTAAAGTGCAACAAAAGTATTCAAGTGCGATTGTTTAGAGACTTGTATAGTGAAATTCAGTGTTTAGTGAGTGTTTTGTAATTAATATTGTGTTTTGATTGTGTGAACTGTGTGGTGAATAAAGAACTGTCAAGTGTGAACTGGCATATGTTGGCGGTAATAGGCGCTAGATGCCAATACATCAGCTGTGATACCTACCTGGTTATTTAACTAAAGCCGCATATTCATTAGGCAACATTTTTTTATAAACTGTTTATGAATTTGATCACCTTGTTCATCACAAACAAGTTTACTGTACACAATGGTTCCGAAACAGACAAATGTGGAGGACACTTGTCTGTTCTTGCTAGAATGTTTTACATAATGTGTATGAGTATGTCCCTTTGGCCGTTTTGCGAAACCATTTTCTTTTTTTTTTTTTTTTGTTCTGTGGCTGTTTCCGTTTCACACAGAAATTTCGCCAATATCCCGTAGTGAGAGAGACACAGTAAGAGAGAGATTGCTTGGTAATTAACAAATTATATTTTATCCAAATAACCCTTCTTCCTTGAACTTTTATTATTGTTCTTCTGAAAGCATAACACACGGAAAGACAACACAGGTTTAATTATATAAAATGTAGCGGTCTTGAAGAGGGCACCACAGACCACATTTTCTTTAACTATCAGAAACACCCGTCTCTATATCCTCTACTTCTGCTCAAAACTCAGCGTCCCGTTAACCTTAACACTATTTTAACAGTTTCTGACAAGCCTGGCTTTTATCTACTATATAAAAATAAAGTCGGGTTTTCCTTCCTGACGCTATAACTCCAGAACGCACGAACCGATTTCCACGGTTTTGCATTCGTTGGAAAGGTCTCGGGCTCCGTGAGGTTTATAGCAAAGAAAATTCAGGAAAAATTAAAAAAAATCGTTTTCTTTTAATCACAAAACGAAATGTTACATAAAACGAAGCTATCTGGTGGCGAAACGGAGTTCGCTGGGTTTGCTAGTTGTTTATGTAAATATATTAAAAAATATAATAATAAACTATAACGTTAGTATCCCCTCTAAACCAGTTTCTAAAGGCAAATTAAGATTCTACTCTCAGTAATACTGGTTTCAAAAACGGCCAAAGGGGAGTATATAACTAAATAAGCTCTATGAGCATCGAAACTTGGTCACTGGACCACACTGCTTACATGTTTAAATAAACTATAGACATCCTTCCGCAACACACCTGTCAAATTTTGTTTTTATACTAAATGTTTCGTCTTGCTCTCCAACCAAACACGGCAACATGTATTTGAAACAATGTCTCTTCACCTTTGTTTCTGAACTGTATGTCAGAGATGATGCGACTAACAAATGTTGCATAATGAATATGCAGCTTAACTAACCTATATCTGATAAACAACCTACTTCAGAATGTAAGCAGCCATCCAATATAATGTAAAAAAAAATGGGTGCGTGTACTTATGTAGGCGCGTGAGAAGTTATCCTTCTTTGGCATCGTTTAAAATTAGTTATTAATTGCATGCAAATAATTAATTATAATAAATTAATAAAAAGTCTGGAAAAGGACACAGTCAATAAAGTTCAGTTTTAATTTGAAAAAATAAATAAATAATCAAAATATTCAATTAAAATCGCTACTGAATATAATTTATTACAACATATGTGATTTGCACTGGTATGAAACTCAAACACGTATTCCGAATATACAAACTAGAAACATGTGGATAAATATTATAAATATGAATACCTATAACTGTTACTTTATTACAAAAAATAAAGATATGGTTTTTGGTTCTACTACACCAATGGTCAAGAGATGGCGCTGTAGTCTCCTGAATCGCGCTTTGGTTCCGTTGTTTCAGATTAATAAATACTTTTGATAGGCCTTCACAATGCAGTCGTTAGCACCCACTAAATAGAGATTCTATTTCTATTTAGTTGGTAGATTTTCTTAATGTGCGGTAAACACAAAATTTTGTGTTACAGTGAAGCGCCCGCATCTTAAAATTTCACTCTCATCATTTTTTCATAACGCGCCTAAAGAAGTATAACTTCAAAAATTTCAAGTAAAATAATTTACTTTCTTAGTAAAAAAATTTCAAGTAAAATAATTTACACATATCAAAAAAGCTTCAGCAACATGCATTTATATTATCCTTAAGATTCAAATTAACAGTATTAAATAAGACTCTTTTGGTAAGTATATGTTTTAAATGACTAACCGTTCTGTTAACTTCTTGATATCTTCATCTCTGTTATTCAATGTGTTCATGACAGTTTTAGCGTATGAATTCTCCACCTGCAGTATTGTCTCCAGCGCTGGAGAATGCACAAGTTTATGATATGCTGCAGCAAACACTTCCTCATCTGATGTACCCTTTTGTTCAGCAAATTCCACAACATTTTCCTTGAAGAGTTTTTCCCAATTTTTCACTATTCCTTCGACATTCAACTCACCGTTTTTGAGTTGGTTGAGAAGTTTCTCATCCCTTTCATTATGAAAATTTGTAGTCTCCTCATATATAAATTGTGCTAATTTCTCATCGAGTTCTGTGAAAGATTGTTGCATCAATAACCAAGGAATCACCATTATAGTATCAAACTAAAATATAATTGTGAATATTTATGCTTTAAAACATGTAAGTAAAAAATACATAAGACTGCCATTGAACTAAAATATGAACACATGGTTATTGACTTTATGTAAAAGAAGTACCAACGGATTATTTCGGTGATTAACTAGGGCGTAAACAAAGTTTGCCTACTATGCAGTGATTGTTTAAAAGTATAAAAATAACTTTGTGACTAAAGCCAGAAAAGTATCGCTAAACTTTGAGAGTGTAAAGCTAGAAGTCAACCGCATATTTTTCCATGTTTTTGAGGCTTCTCTAGCGTACAAAATAATGTTTTACCATCTTCTAAGTAGACTGGAATAGGGAACATGTTAAGGACTCTTTGAACCAGCTCTCGTGGAGATCCACTATACGGGATTTCCAAGGGCACCTCCAGTTTGAAGTATACATCTTCGTGGGTACATGTTGGGAATGAAAATCTAAATGTTTTAGTTACACTTAGTGTGGTTTCTGCAGTCATTTTCGGAAAACCTTTTTTTTTGTCTGTGTATGTTGTGACCTGTTGTGACTGTCTCCAGTTTACTTTTTTTTTTTGTTGAAGTTCTCCCGTTTTAGGGAAGGCAAAGGGAACAATGCCCATACAGCCTGGTCTTTAATTAAATTAATCTTCTTTGTGTTTTTACATTAGAATTTCGGTGTGACGCATTCTAATGTTTGGCTTTTTCGATAAGCTTCTGTGAGGTAGTCAACACTACAATAAAATTCTCACGTCCACTTGACCGGAATAGCGTATATTTTAATGATTCCACTAATTCTTCAGTTACGCAGACAGTTGTTACACAAAACCACACCAATTTTATTTCACAATATCCACTATGAACGAATTTAAGAATAATTAAAATAAGACGCCAACCGCACTCGATGAAATCTCGCCAAAAAACCACTTTCTTTTTTTTAAGTTCTCCCTTTACAGCGAAGGCAAGTGAAACAACGCCCATTACTTTTTTTTAATCTGTTTTTCTCATCTTGGAAAAGGCAAAAGCATGCAGCCATCATCTTCATTTTAAAAGTTCTTTTGTGAAATTTTCTTTTTTTTCTATAAGGCCGAAGCCACTTCTGCAATCATAAAACATTTCTTCTAAATAGTCTGAAGGCCTGCTCTAATTCAACGAAAATTCAATCGAAATTTTGCATTTTCCTTACTTTGTTTCTGGTTAATTTTTAATTATAATAATATTTGCTATCGGAATATAGATTGAGGTATAGGTTTTCTAAGTCTACTCAAAAAACCTTTTTTTTTTGGTAGTTTATTGATCAATTTAACCTTACGATATTAATTTCGTTTGAACTTCGTTATCGAAAATTCGTTTCGGAGAAAGAGAGTAGACCCCCTGTTTCTAATCCATTTTCGGTTTAGCTACTTATTTTCCTCCCAAACTTTCAAATCCGATATTGTAGTCATCATCTTGTGTGTTTAACAGTCATGTAGTTTTTTTATAGTTCCATCTATGGAAATTGAAAATTATATAAAATTTTACATAATATTTAATATTTGTATGATTCTGTACTCATAACAATGTCATGAATGTCACGCGGGATTTTATTATTAGTCATCACGCTAACGTGATGATATAATAACGAAATTATTTATGACCAATCATAAATAATTTCATTAAATTGTCAGCTAGACGAGTCTTTGTATATTATATGCATTCCAAAAATATAGTTTGTCTGCTGATCTACTTTTAAATTACATTATAATGGAGACGTAATTATATTAATTCTATGTAAATGTGAAAATTCATAGAAGAATAAAACATGTTATGTCTAAATCTCAAGCGTGTGGAAATATAAAATCTCCGGCTATGGTATTCTCACGAACCTGAAAAATAAGGACGTGATATCAAACTGAAATGATGTGAAGCATGCAAAGTCCTACAATTTCGTTTGTTGTTCACCACCTACACTCACACAAATGAACCAGTAGATTGGCGATTCTTTCCAAAAAAGATCGATTTTAAAATAGATGCGAATCGTGATCTAATGAATCGATCCACAAAAAAATCGATGCCAATAAGATCGATTTCTGAAAAATCAATATTTTTTTCAAGTTTTTGTTTTAATGTATATTAAATCTATTTTATTAAATGCAAGATACATATTAAAATTTAATGATCTTTTAATAAAAACAAACGTAACTTTTTTTATTAAAGAGGGGCAAAGGAATCCAAAACATACAGCCATTTCGCGAGTTTTTTAATTATTAACCCTATAACCAGCAGCACTCTTATAACGGGTACATTCATATAATTGTAAATACTTTTTGGTTTATACTAAGAAGCTTATACTCAAAATGGAGCCTGCACAACGAACAAAAAAGTGAATACCAAGAAATTGACCTTGAATGATGTCACTGTTGTTTGCCATCTCTTTCATTAGGATGACAATGCTTTTGATGAATGTGAATAAATCGGGTGGGAAAAACTTCTAAAGATATATTTTAATATTTACAGCCAAGAAGTAAATTTTGAAAACCAGCCAAGTGCGAGTCGCACTCGCGCACGAAGGGTTTCATACCATTATCTATATATTAGACATTTTTATAACATCAAGAAAAACTGTTTTTACCCTTAAATATTTATTTTATTTTAATAAAGTGGTTTATCAAATAGGGATTCGAACATGAGGATCTCGATGGCTCAAGTGGTAAGCGGTATCGTCTAAGATCGTGTAAGTTCCTTAATTTCGAAGATCGCAGACCGAAGCCGCTATTTAGTTATGATCAAATCCTCTATCCTATGGGATAAGTGACCAAAACTTAATTATCTATTACTCTTCCGTACTTTGAAAGGCACATTAAGTTGTTGGTTCAGCTTACATCTGCAGTGTTAGCACCCACCTATCTGCACTGGGCCTGCATTGTAATTCATGGCTTAATCTCCCTATGCAGTCCAGAAGGAAGGTCTGTGCCCCTATAGTCAGGACATTAATAGGCTGATGATGATGATGAAGTCATAGGATTACTTTAAACTCACTTTCAAAACCTACTTTTTTGAGAACAAAATTCTTATACTGCAAATCAAACTTTTGCCTCGTTGCATCTTTCAGTTTAATGATAGATTAAATCAAAAGGCCTTTTTGATTTGATGTAAGAGTTGTGTGTTAAGTAATTCAAAATCTAATTGCTATCACTCACTCCTAAAATTTAAATTCTAACCTTTTGAGTTAATGTTTTGAAGTCATTTGGAATATTTGATGCGTTATGTACATAAACAAATTATTTAGATATTATTTTTTTACTTTAACAATAAGTGTAATTCAGAAACAGGGTATACCAATGAATAAGAACTAATAAGTCAATTATAAGTTATAGATAATTTTCAAAGATGGTTGTGGTAATGCATCCATTTTGAGTCTTGATTCATTAGTAAGCATGATGTCTGAACACGTTACGAACAAAGTTGGGAATATTTCGTAAGATGTTAGCCCCAGATATCAAATTAACTGCTTTGATCTGCACACATCTTATATCGGCATCTCGAGGACCTAAAACAAATTGTTTTTAGATATGAAACAAATAATCTTTATATTCTTCTTTCTTTAAGTATTAAATTAATGTGATAAAATGTTGGGTATGATAGTAGTGTCGATTCTGGCATGATTCTCTAAAGCTAAACTTAAATTTGACAACAGTGCATCCTTGTCATTCTCCATACGGAATGAAAAGAACAGACTGATGTTTAATTTAGTTTTAAGTTTAGAGAATCCTGCCAGAATCGACACCAGTGTATTGTTAATAAGGTTGTATCAAAAAATATTTTTTGCAAGCTTTTTGCTGACTTTGATTATTGACTGTACTTGCTTTGTCATTTAATTTACATAAGTATACCAAATTTCGGTCAATCCAACTACTAAAAATACAAAATGAACTTGCAAGATTTCACCCAAAATCGACAATGAACAGCAAGTTAAATCATAGCTTGTAAAAATAACTATAAATATTCTTAATGATAAACCCATGATAATATATCATTTTGTTTCAAATTCAAATTCAAACTCATTTATTCAGTCTAGGCTGTTACAAGCTCTTGTGAAAGTCAAACGCTACGCCATCGGTTCGTAAATCTACGGCGGGAGACCTTGTACTGAGAAGAACCGGCAAGAAACTCAGCAAGGGCTATTTTTTTCTCCCTGTTTTGTTTCACACAGTGTCGTCAATTGAAAGATGACATCAAAAATTGAATACATGTGTTGATGTCAACTTCCATCACATTAATATTATTAATTAACAAAAGTTAAGTATAACTAGGTACTATTTTTAAATTTAGAAGTGGCGATTAAACAATTTTCAACCAAATTAGCAAAGTAAAAAGACAGTCTATTATGTTAAGCCCAAGGTGACTTATCATTTATGAAATCTTTTACAGTATAGTAACCTTTCTTAAGGAGACATGTTTTTATACACACTTTAAACTTATTAAAAGGTAAATTAATTATTTCTTTTGGTATTTTATTATAGTAACATATACCTTGACCCACAAATGAACCAAGAACCTTTTGGAGTCTCAATGGTGGCAATTTGAGTTTATCTTTATTTCTGGTATTGAAATTATGTACATCATCGCGCCTCGTATATAAATTTATGTTCTGACGCACAAACAATATACAATTGTAAATGTATTGAGAGGCAACAGTCATTATACCTATTTCTTTAAATTTATCCCTAAGAGAAGTTCGAGATCCCAAGCGGTAAATGGCTCTTATAGCTCGTTTTTGAAGAATAAAAACTGTTTCAATGTCTGCGGCCGTGCCCCACAACAGAATGCCATATGACATAATGCTGTGAAAGTAGCTGAAGTATATTGTCCTAGCAGTGTCGACATCTGTAAGCCGTCTTATTTTATAAATTGCATAAGCAGCAGAACTTAGTTTACCGGCTAGTGTTGTAATGTGAGGGTTCCATTGAAGTTTGTGGTCTAGTGTTACGCCTAAGAAAACGGTTGTATCGACTAAAATTAGTTTTTCACCATTTAGAATTATATCCCCCATTTCAACATGCTTTACATTCGGCAAAGTAAATTTCACACATTTAGTTTTGCTCGCATTCAGTTTAAGATTATTAGAAGAGAACCAGTGAAGTACCTTGGAAAGTGCATTGTTTACATCGTCATAATTTGTTTTACACCTGTCAACGTTAAAAATTAGCGAGGTGTCATCTACAAACAAAACAATTTCACAAAAATTTTCTACAAAGAAAGGTAAATCATTAATGTAAATTAAAAAAAGAAATGGACCTAAAATTGAACCCTGAGGAACGCCTATTTTCACATGAGATCCGGCTGATTTTGTACCGTTAATATCAACTATTTGTGTCCTTTCTGTTAAATATGATTGCACTAATTTTTGTGCGGAATCTTTTATGCCGTAATGATTTAATTTCCGTAACAAAGTTTGATGATTAACGCAATCAAACGCTTTAGATAAATCGCAGAAAACCCCAAGAGCATTCTGCGACTTTTCCCAAGCATTAAATATATATTTTAGCATAGTGGCCCCAGCATCAGTCGTGGAACGGTTTTTAGTGAAACCGTACTGCGCTCTGTGTAAAAGTTTATTAATGTTAAAATGAGTCAACAATTGTTCTAACATTATTTTTTCAAAGATTTTACTCAATGCTGGTAATATAGATATTGGCCTATAGTTGCTAGGATCTTTA